ATAGAACCTTTTGTTATAATCTTGATGTTTTTGGTGAAAAAAGGAAAATATTAAAAATGGTATAGATGATAATTCCATGTAAAAATTTGAGTTTATCACTGTTTCTGCTTGATTTGAACTTTCAGACGTTTATTTAAAAGAAACTTAACTTACAATAAATTTTGTTCTATCTGTTATTCGTTGGTCGAATGAATTGCCTATATAAAAGATAAAAAACAGATAAAATGCGCATGGAAAGGAGAAAAGAGAGGAGAAAAAAGTGACAGAACAGAAAAACAGCCTAAATTCACTATACGAAATCGTAGAGACTGTGGTGACACATGTAAAACTCAAGATGTAATTATAAGAAGCCCGCTGTCGAATTCGCCTTGAAATTCTGCATATATCACCTTAGTTTCATAAAGTTTGGTTCGGCGCGGAGCTTGCACCTAATTTTCTAATGTACGATTTTGTAAACAATAATGCGATATTATCGTTGATATATCAGTATCAGTCATTAATGGCGATTTCGTTTCTAATATCTTTTGACAAATAGCCATCATTTTTTTTCGATCGGCAACTAAGTGCGTAAAACAATTTATAAATATCAAATCAAAAGATTGAAAATTTTTGATGCTATTTTGTTTATACACCTAACCGAATCATATCTGGTTGTAACACATGATGGTTAAAGAATAGTATCAGAAAAGTCATGCATGTTTCTCCGCTTTACTTTGCAGATAGTAGCTAGTTCGAAGTGAGGAAGACTTAAATGCATCGATATCTAGTCATGTAATCTTACTTTCTTCATCACTATTTTTTTTTTGCAACTGCTATTCGCTCTTTGTCAACAAGCGCCAATATTGTTAAATGATGTTTTTGATCAACAATCGTTATTGAACTGTTTGTCATATTCATTAATGGTTCCAGTAAAACTTTATCTAAAAATACAAAGACAAAAAGTCGATACTTTTTTATTCAAAAAGTTAAATAAACTCCAAATCTTGAACGCTCAACAACGTCTCAGTCTACGCCATTTGTCTTTCTATTTCTTTTGATTAAATCTTACTTTGTTTATCAACATTATATTCTTCAATATTGAAATGTCTTGCTTCTTCTTTACTTCTAGCCGCTGTTATTTCATCAGTTTGTTGCTGTTGAGTAACTATCTCTTTGCTTGTATGTTGTTCTTCATGATAAGTCATCAATGATTCATGTATCATATGAACTAATTGTTTCAATATTGTTCCAGAATCTATAAAAAAAACGAATCTCCAATATATTAAATTATAACAATAGAAGATTTACCTTCTTTCGTTGATATTTTGCGTTTTAGTTTCATCAGTTGGCGACTGTGTTTGTTAAGGACTACAGGATGATGCCAGTAAAATAATGTTATTATTAACATCTCAAGAATGTTGCTCATTCTTTTTTTAATACATATGTTCTTTGACCGCTAACTATTTGTTCTTGAATCAAGTCTGCTTCAAGTAGTAATCCAATTTCTTGTTTCATAAATAAATCATTAATATATTTATAATATTCACTAACATACTGTTTGCAATGTAATGTCATAAACTGAGAACCAGATTATGCCAATGATTTTGTTTTGGTTGAATTATGATACAATTGTATGCAATCATTCAAATTGACATCAAAACGACGTAGTTTTGTGTTCAAATTCCAATTGATCATGTGACGGTGGTATTAATTTAATAAATGATCGTTAACAATTATTTAAATATCGTCTCTCCAATATTAAACCGTTTTTAATCAATTCATAACTCAAATTGCTCTGGTTTTTCGATCAATCACGATCGTAAGCTGTCATTACTGATAAGGAAAATATATTTGCTGGATATTCTAGGACCTTTTTAGCTTTATGGGCTGTTAATAATTGGTTGTTCTCATGAAAATCCTTCATAGTTAGTTCGTTAGTATCAAATAGTGTTGTTGATATGTTAAATAGATACTCATAATATAGCCAAGCATCTTCACATGTTTTTTTGTTAATATATAAAATGAACATACCTAAAAATTTCCAAGTAAATTTTTCCGTACCATGTGTACAACAAGGCTGGATGAAATTCATAATTCATCGATTTTTTTATTAGCAGCATCGATAAATGTTGTAGTGTTTGCACTATTTTCAAATAAATTAATGAATACAATTGGTTCGAACATTTGATATTTTCAAACAGTTGTTCAGTATCATCCGGTTGTAAAAACGACGGCACATTACTTTTTGCTTTGTCCAAATCCATTTGTTCAATCGTATCGGTTAATTTTGCCAGTTTGACATTGATAGTAATTGACCATAAACGGAATAGTTGTCGGATTTGTCAAAACAAGAGAGGACGCCATGGGTGAGGATTCGAATCGATGAGTGATGATGGTCAGAGTGAGATAGTGATAGAAGATTGCTGTTCTTATTGCTCTTCATCGTCATCGATGATATCTGTAACTGTGTCTGTTTCTTGAGTTTTCTTTTCAAAGAACTTTTCCATATTGTTTTCCACAAATTTCAGTTTGAACGATTTACCAGGGTGTTGTCTTGCACAATGATCTTTTGCTTTGTCCTTACGATCATTCTAATCAATCACAATAAACACATGTTACTTGTTGTTTACTTGGAAACATTTCTGCTGCTGAAATCGTAACAATTTAGTGACTTAAAGTCAAATAATACGGCAGATAGTTAGAATCAGAATAGGAAAGAGAAGTAGACTAATACAAACAAGCAAGACAATCACTATGAGTAAATAAACAACAAGGAAATTAAAGAAAGTGTTTAGTAACTTTGTGTGATCGCTCTCTCACCACTGTATCATTAACACTAGAACAAACAACAAATAAAGTATCAAACCAGAACAACAGACAGAGCCGTATATTTTATGCACATACTACTCACATAATGTGAGTCGCATTCACTCACGTGCGCGGAGTAGCAGAACAAAACACATGGAAGTGAGAGGCAGAGAGAAACGAAACTTGTAGAAAGAGAACGAAAAGAAAAAGATAGTTAATAGCACAAAGGCAGGGGACTTATAGAGAGGAGCTATGACACCTTGTGATTTTTACTTAAGAGAAAAAATTTCTGAATTTTTCGAAACATTTCTAAGCTCAAGATTTTCCAAACACTTCCCCAAACGCGCGTTCCCGCACACGGATAGATTCTGCACCACTGCTCTATGTACCGATGTAATATTTTAAAAAATCTCTTCGTATACGCAGTTTTTTCACACGCCGCATACAACCTATAGGTCTTCATCGGAATCAGACCCATAATAGTCTGAAGAGTCTTCATCTGTGCTACATACAAAATAACACTCTTCAAGTGAAAGATTCTGTTCATCTCTGTTATCTGTCTTAATGTCATATTTCTTTTTGTGAGGATCCATTAACTTGCGGGCCCGTTGTAAAGTTGCTCGTCGAAATTCTTTATCTGTTTTTTCAAAAATAAATTCCTGTTCTTCTCCGCCGCTTGAATATTTTTCTGTTGTTCCTGTCTTGACATGTATGTATCCAGGATAGCGCTGTTCGCCATATGTTTGAAAGCTGCGCTTTCTGATTAAACGATACCCTGCTTCAGCTGATCCAAGAACAATCGGATTTTCTTTTTGTCTCGTCTTCCAATAGTCACCACTTTTTTGCATTAAGGTGACATGAACCCTATCATCTGGTAATTGCAATTTAGAGCACGATTGAAAAAAACGAGGAATGGTATTTTTAAATTCCTCTCTTGCAGTAGCTTCACCAAAAGGACAATTCCACTGGATGCGTTTAAACCTTCTCCCTTTAAATGTTCGATGTATTTGCTCAGCATCAACACCAAAAAGTACATTAACACCACGCCGTTTGAGATCTACAATTCTTTCTTCTAATAGATTTTTTTCTTCTTCTTGATGTCTTGTCAGATGGATAGCTGTCAGATCCGTAGCAATAATGGCTTTAGACAAATTTGGATGAGTAATTTCATGTTTAGTAATAAGAGCCTTGGTGAAAGAAAAGTCTCCTTCGCCAATTAACAGTCTTGTTTTGAAAATATAATAATAATTGCAGCTGTTTTGAACTTCATACCTTTATTTGTTGATATTTCGACCTTTAACCG